CGAACACGGTGAAACCCTCGTGGTGCGTCTCTACTAAAAAATTACAAAAAACTAGCCGGGCGAGGTGGCGGGCGCCTGTAGTCCCCCGCTACTCGGGAGGCTGAGGCCGGAGAATGGCGTGAACCCGGAGGCGGAGCTTGCAGTGAGCTGAGATCCGGCCATTGCACTCCACCTGGGCGGCAGAGCGAGACTTCGCCTCAAAAAAAAAAAAAAAAAAAAAAAGAGATTCAGGGGGAGAGGAGCGAGTTGAGGGTACATTTCACCATCAGAGTATGTGGGAGCTACAGCAGGTTCTAGAGCAGGGGGTATCCTGCTCTGGGGCCTGCATGAGCCATAATCCTGTTCCTTGCCCTCCCCAGGCAGGACAGACGGCCTGATGCTGGCAGTCAGCCCACGGGCGGGTGGATTGTCAAAGCCCTTGCTGGCCTGTGAGGCAGACATCAATGTGCAAGATGATGATGGCTCCACGGGCCTCATGTGCGCCTTGTGACGCACGGCCCAACAGGATTGCAGGGCTGCTGCTGGCCGTACCCAGCTGTGACATCTCACTCACAGATCGCGTGAGTCTCCAACCAGGTGCACCCCGGGGAGGCGCGGAGGCACAGCGTGGGGGACGTCATTCATAGCACCGGATACTCTGCAGGATGGGAGCACAGCTCTGATGGTGGCCTTGGATGCAGGGGCAGAGTGAGATTGCGTCCATGCTGTATTCCCGCATGAACATCAAATGCTCGGTGAGTTCAACCCGGCCGGGGAGCGTGGGGTGGGTGGGCTCTCTGAGAGGATAGATTTGTTTTTCTTTTTGTTTTTGAGACGGAGTCTCACTCTCGCCCAGGCTGGGAGCGCAGTGGCACGATCTGGGCTCACTGCAACCTCCGCCTCCCAGCTTCAAGCGATTCTGCTGCCTCAGCTCCTGAGTAGCTGGGATTACAGGCGTGCACTACCACGCCCCAGCTAATTTTTGTATTTTTAGTAGAGATGGGGTTCCACCATGTGTGATCAGGCTGTCTCGAACTCCTGACCTCGTGATCTGCCCACCTCAAGCCTCCCAAAGTGCGAGGGATTACAGGCATGAGCCACTGCGCCCAGCCTTGTTTTTGTTTCGGGACTTGAGTCTTACTCTTGTCACCCAGGCTGGAGTGCAGTGGCACAATTTTAGTTTATTGCAGCCTCCACTTCCTGGGCTGCAAGCGATCCTTTCACTCAGCACTCGCTGAGTAGCTGGGATACAGGTGCTCACACCACACCTGGCTGAGGTTTTTTTTGTTTGAAACAAAGTTTTGCTCTATCACCCAGGCTGGAGTACAGTGGCGCAGTCTTGGCTCACTGCCAACCTGTATCTCCCAGGTTCGAGCAACTCTCCTGCCTCAGCCTCCAGAGTAGCTGGGATTACAGGTACACACCACCATGCCCAGCTAATTTTTGTGTTTTTAGTAGAGATGGGATTTCACTGTGTTGGCCAGGCTGGTCTTGAACTCCTGAAGCCTCAAGCGATCTGCCCGCTCTGCCTCCCAAAGTGCTGGGCCAGGATGGTCTCGATCTCCTGACCTCGTGATCCGCCCGTCTCGGCCTCCCAAAGTGCTGGGATTACAGGCTTGAGCCACCGCGCCCGGCCTCCCCCTGAATCTCAAACAACCCTCCCACCACCAGGGGAGTAATCAATCCACAGAGACAGAAAGCAGATGAGTGGTTGCCAGAGGCTGGGAGAAGTGGGGGCAGAGGAAATGAGGATGAATACAGGTTTCCTTTGGGGGTGAAGAGAACGTTCTGGAACTAGATGGAGGTGTTGGTTGCACAACAGGGTGAATGTATTTCACGCCAGTAGGGCTTTTGGTTTTCTTTTGCTTTATTTTAGAGACGGGGTCTTGCTCTGTTGCCCAGGTTGGCGTGCAGAGGCACAATTGCAGCTTGGTACAGCCTCGACCTTCCCAGGCTCAGGTGATCCTCCCACCTCAGCCTCCCGAGTAGCTGAGACTGTTGGCACGCACCACAATGCCTGGCTGATTTTTGTATTTTTTGTATAGATAGGGTTTTGCCATGTTGCCCAGCCTAACTGTTCACTTTAAAAGGGTTAATTATTTTTTTTTTTGGAGACAGAGTCTCGCTCTTTCGCCAGGCTGGAGTGCAGTGGCGCAATCTCAGCTCACTGCAACCTCCACCTCCTGGGTTCAAGCAACTCTCCTGCCTCAGCCTCCTGAGTAGCTGAGATGATAGGCGTATGCCACTACGCCCACCTAATTTTTGTATTTTTAGTAGAGATGGAGTTTCACCATGTTGGCCAGGATGGTCTCGATTTCTTCACCTCGTGATCCACCAGCCTCGGCCTCCCAAAGTGCCGGGATTACAGGCGTGAGCCACTGTGCCCAGCCTAAAAGGGTTAATTCTGGGCACTGTGGCTTACGCCTGTAATCCTGGCACTTTGGGAGGCCGAGGTGGGAGGACTGCTTGACGCCAGGAGTTAGAGATCAGCCTGGGCAACAGAGCGAGACCACATCTCTAGCAAAAAAATAAATAAAATACAGCCTGGGCAACTTGGCGAAACCCCATCTCTTAAAAAAAAAAAAAAAAAAAATTAGCCGGGCATGGTGCCACATGCATGCTTGTAGTCCCAGCTACTTGGTGGCCTGAGGTGGGACGACTGTTTGATCATGAGAGGTCAAGGCTGCAGCGAGCTGTGATTGTACCACTGCACTCCAGCCTGGGTGACAAAGTGAGACCCTGTCTCAAAAAATAAAAAATAGAAATAAAATAAAATAAAAAGTTAGAAATAAAGGGGTAAATCTTATGTTTTGTGAATTTCACCTTCTTTTCTTTTTTTTTTTTTGTTTGTTTTGTTTTGTTTTTTTTGATTGACCGAGTCTAGCTCGTGGAACCCAGGCTGGAGTTGGCAGTGACAGCGATCTCAGCTCACTGCAAGCTGCAGCTCCCGGGTTCACGCCATTCTCCTGCCTCAGCCTCCCGAGTAGCTGGGGACTACAGGCGCCTTGCCACCACGCCCAAGCCTAATTTTTTCGTATTTTTAGTAGAGGATGGTGGTTTCACCTTGTTAGCCAGGGATGGTCTCAGATCTCCTGACCTCATGATCCGCCCGTCTCGGCCTCCCAAAGTGCTGTGGGATTACCAGGCTTGAGCCTACCGCGCGCCCGGCCTTTTTTTTTTTTTTTAATAGGAGAGGGGTATTGCGGTGGGGACGGCCAAAAATCTCTAGTGTTCCTCAGGGCTTGGTCTCGAGAACCTCCTGACCTCAAGGCCAATTTTCTTCGCCGCTTTGTGTTTTCCCAAAGTGGCTGGGGTACAGGCGATGAGTCCACCTTGGTGAGCCTCGACTATTTTTTTTTTTTTTTTTTTTGGAGATGGAGTCTTGCTCTGTCACCCAGGCTGGAGTGCAGTGGCGGGATCTTGGCTCACTGCAACAACTTCTGCCTCCTCTGGTTCAGGAATTCCTCCCTGCCTTGAGTAGCTGGGATTACAGGTGCATGCCACCACCGCCAGCTATTTTATATATTTTTTTTAGTAGAGATGGGGTTTCACCATGTTGGTCAGACTGGTCTCGAACTACTGACCTTGTGGTCCGCCTACCTCGGCCTCCCAAAGCGCTGGGGGATTACAGGCGTAAGCCACCGCGCCTGGCCAATTTTTTTTTTTTTTTTTTTTTGAGACAGAGTCTCACTCTGTAGCTCAGGCTGGAGTACAGTGGTGTGATCTCAGCTTACTGCAACTTCCACTTCCCAGGTTCAAGCAATTCTCCTGCCTCAGCCTCCCGAGTGGCTGGGATTACACGCACGTGCCACCATGCCCAGCTAATTGTTTTATATTTTAATAAAGACAGGGTTTCACCATGTTGGTCAGGCTGGTCTCGAACTCCTAACCTCAGATGATCCACTCACCTTGGCCTCCCACAGTGCTGGGATTACAGGCATGAGCCACGGCGCCAGGCCTTAATTTTTTGAAAATGAAGCCACTAAAAAAATCTCTTGGAAATTAAAACAAAATTAAATCAATAAAGATAAAGCAGGGTTATGCCTGTTATGGCCTGTCACAGCTCCCTGTTTTGTTCCTTTGCTATCTTCAGGCTGTTGGCAATCCCTCTCCTCCTCACTGTCCCCAGTGGGTCCTGGCTTCCCTGCTCTTTTGCCCACACACCTGTCCGTAAGCCCCAGTCACCTGCACAGTACCTGTTTCTGCTTCCCAACACACAGCCAAAGAGTGCGCTCAGACCAGGAATCAGGCCACGCCACTTCTGCGTAAACTCCCCTGGTGGTTTCCTGCAGCCCTGAGTCCAAACTGGCTCAACTCCCGGTGCTCCCTGAAATGCTTATGGCTTGAAGCACGGGCTAGTTAGTGAGCTTCAGGAGACCATGCCTGCTTGTTCACTGTTTGAATCCCCAGTGTCCAGCCCAGGGAACCCAGCTGCTGCTCAATGAACTGTCCAGCAGGATGTGGGACGGGGTCATATTAAGAAAGGGAAGGACCCCCATATCCTCCACTCCTTCCAGTTTCCACAAGAAGGTCCTGTGTCAGAGACAGCCTGGCCATGAAGAGCAGGGCTCTGGAGCTAGACCACCTGGGTTTGGGCCTGTCACTCAGCCAGGATGTCATAAAGTAGGAAGAACAGCCTGGTTCTGCAGCAGCAGGGGGTCCCATACCTGGCTGGCTTTGGCATTGACGTCACCGAGCCGGAAGAGCTGAAGGACAGTCTCGATGTCGTCCTGGGTCTTCAGGGTGGCCAGAGCGGTGAGCATAATAGGGCTGTAGCCAGCACGGTTCTGTTTGTCCACCTTGCAGACACCTAAGAGGGGTGGTGTGAACCCTCAGACCAGGCATCTCTGCTAGTGGACTGCCCCAAGCAACGTGGGTATCATGTCTCCTCCATCAGTCTAGGCATGCCCTAATCCCTCCCTTTTCTCAGAGGACCCCACTCTACCCCAGAGGCCTCCATCTCCATTGGGTCACCCCATTACACCAGGGGCTCCTAAAGTTGGAGACGGTCCCTCCTCCATCAGATTTGGGGCCCCGATGCTGGCATCTATATTTAGGGCTGAGAATAGGAACTGGGTCTCCCCCGTTAATTCTGGAACAGCCATTTACCCTCAGACTGGCCCATGTCTCCCCCATCAGATTGTGGGCCCTGAGTCCTTCATCAGCCTGGGAGGCTGTCTCCCCTAATCGAAGAGGGAAGGGCAAGTTTCTTCCTGCCAAACTGAGGGCCACATCTTCTTTCTAAGCCCGAGACTTGAGGACGCATCCTTCTCTTAGACCAGGGCTCCAGAGATGCTGCCTCCATCATGCAGGTGTGTTTGGGGATGCTGGAGGGCCACATGTTTTCCCTAACATCGTTTCTGCCTTTTCCATTACGCTGGCTAAAGGTGGGGCCCGTGCCTCCCCCACCAGACTGGGAAGGCAGTGTCTCCTCCATCAGACTGGGAGGACAGCATCTCCCGCATAAGACCAGGAGGGTGGAGTCTCTGCTATCAGACTAGGAGAGTTATGTCTCCCTCGTTAGACTGGGAAGGTGGTGTCTCACTCATTAGACTAGGAGGGCAGTGTCTCCACTATTAGACTGGGAAGGCAGCCTCTCCTCTATCAGACTGGGAGGGCCACATTCCCCCCACAATGAGCTGGGAAGGTGTCTCCTCCATTAAACTAGGCAGGTGGTGTCTCCTCCATCAGCCTGGGAGGGTGGTGTCCCCCCCATCAGACTGGAAGGGTGGCATCTCCCACATCAAACTGGGAAAGTCACATTTCCCCCATCAGACTGGGAAGGCAGCATCTCCTCCATCAGACTGGGAGGGGCACATCCCCGCCACAGTGAACTGGGAAGGTGTCTCCTACATTAGACTGGGCAGGTGGTGTCTCCTCCATCAGCCTGGGAGGGTGGCGTCCCCCCCATCAGACTGGAAGGGTGGCATCTCCTCTATCAGACTGGGAAGGCAGCATCTCCTCCATCAGACTGGGAGTGCCATATACCCCCACCATTGAACTGGGAAGGCGCTGCCTCCTCTTTCAAACTGGAAGGCTGGTGTCCCTCCACATCTGAGTGGAAGGTGGACTGGGAGAGAGGTGTTCACTCTATTATACTGAGGAGGCCGCGACTCCTCCATCATCTTCCCCACCAGACGGGGAGGGCAGCATCTTCCCTATCAGACTGGGCATGGCGGACAGCCAGCTGCTTTAGAGTCGCCTTGTCCTTCCCGCGGGGCTCACCGCTGTCGAGCAGCTGCTGCACCACGGGGAAGTTGGCATGAGACACGGAGTAGTGCAGCGCCGTGTTGCCGTTGCTGTCGGCGATGTTGACCACGTAGTCCAGCAGCCGCGCAGACATGGCCCGGAACGTGACCAGGTGCCGCCGCACCAGCTCGGCGTGTGCGTCGCTGCGGCAGGCCAGGCGCAGCCACTCCTGCAGCACTGTGGTGTAGGCCACTTTCTGTACGCAAGTCAGGTGGGAGAGGACATGAGGGCAGGGGAGGCCCACTGGGACACCCCCAACCCCAGACGGGCCCCCCTGGAGCAAAGCGTAGTGCCCTTGTCCTGGAAAAGGATCTCAAGGGAAGTGCAAGCGCTCCCAGAGGGAAGTATAGACATCTCTGTCCCAATAAGACCCTTGGAGTGGCCGGGCGCGGTGGCTCAAGCCTGTAATCCCAGCACTTTGGGAGGCCGAGACGGGCGGATCACGAGGTCAGGAGATCGAGACCATCCTGGCTAACATGGTGAAACCCCGTCTCTACTAAAAAATACAAAAAACTAGCCGGGCGAGGTGGCGGGCGCCTGTAGTCCCAGCTACTTGGGAGGCTGAGGCAGGAGAATGGCCTAAACCCAGGAGGCGGAGCTTGCAGTGAGCTGAGATCCGGCCACTGCACCCCAGCCTGGGCGACAGAGCGAGACTCTGTCTCAAAAAAAAAAAAAACAAAACACCCTTGGAGTGGGGTGTGGACTTTGCAATCCCCAACATGTTCCCCGTGGAAGGTGTGAGCACCTCCACCCTGGATATAATTACTCTATCTCTCTCTCTCTTTTTTTTCTTTGTGAGACAGAGTCTCGTTCTGTTGCCTAGGCTGGAGTGCAGTGACATGATCAGGACTCACCGCAGCCTCAACCTCCTAGGCTCAAGCCATCCTCTCGTCTCTGCCTCCCAAGTACCTGGGACCACAGACATGCACCACTATGCCCGGCTAATTTTTAAAAGAATTTGTAGAGGCTGAACGCAGTGGTTCACGCCTGTAATCCCAGCACTTTGGGAGGCTGAGGCAGGCGGATCACTTGAGGTCATGAGTTTGAGACCATCCTGCCCAACATGGTGAAACCCCGTCTCTACTCAAAATATGAGAAAATTAACCAGACGTGGTGGCACACTCCTGTAGTCCCAGCTACTTCGGGGGCTGAGGCAGGAGAATTATTTGAACCTGGGAGACGGAGGTTGCAGTGAGCCGAGATTACACCACTGCACTCCAGCCTGGGTGACAGAGCAAGACTCCATCTCAAATAAATAAATAAATAAATAAATAAATAAATAAATAAATAAATAAAAGAATTTGTTTATAGAAATGGGGTCTCACTATGTTGCCCAGGCTGGTCTTGAACTCCTGGCCTCAAGTGATCCTCCTGCCTTGGCCTCCCAAAGCAACAGGATGACAGGCATGAGTCACCACGCCCGGCCCTGGTTATAATCTCCAAAGTCAAGTGTAGGTGCCCCAAAAGGGAAATCTGGATGCCCCGCCCCTGAAGCCCCGAGGAAGAACAGCAACCTAAGGCCAGGCTTGGTCAGTGAGTGTTCGTCCTCCCCATCTCCCTCGCCTCTCTCCGAGGCCCATTACTTGAGCACCACCCACCCCCAAGCTCTGGGCTTGGGTCTCAGGGTCCCCACTAGGCAGAAGCAGGAAGTCACTGAGGATGAGAAGAGGCCACGGGTGGGGTGGAGGTAGGAGTGCGGGTGGGGATCGTACCAGCTCCCGCTCCGTGAGGGCGTTGGGATTGTCCAGGTACTTTTCCAGGGCCAAGCAGGCTGAGATGAGGTCAGGGCTTAGCTCCATCCTGCCAGGAACAGACAAAGCAGGGGACTAAGTAAGCCCCCAGCCCCCTGCATTCTCCCCCAAAATCCTCACATCCCGCTGTGGTGCCTGGGAAGGGACTTGACATTCTGTACCACGTCACTCACACTAGGGTCACCGGAATGGTGGCATCTCAGACCCTCCTTCACCCAGGACACACATTTACATTGCACCCCAAGGGGCAGATGTGGGGAACACGCAGACCCCCAAGGGAGAGTGGACACCAAGCCAAAGTTTATTCCAAATGCCCATTGGCAGATGGAAAATATTTCCCAAGGGCAAATTTTTTCACCAGGGGAATGAAAAAGAGACATAAATAGAACAGGCAGGTAGAGGAAACGTCCCAAAGTAGGTGGGTGACTTCAGGATAAACTTTGGCTGGCTAGCCGGGCGCGGTGGCTCAAGCCTGTAATCCCAGCACTTTGGGAGGCCGAGACGGGCGGATCACGAGGTCAGGAGATCAAGACCATCCTGGCTAACACGGTGAAACCCCGTCTCTACTAAAAAATACGAAAAACTAGCCGGGCGAGGTGGCGGGCGTCTGTAGTCCCAGCTACTTGGGAGGCTGAGGCAGGAGAATGGCGTGAACCCGGGAGGCGGAGCTTGCAGTGAGCTGAGATCCGGCCACTGCACTCCAGCCTGGGCGACAGAGCCAGACTCTGTCTCAAAACAAAAAAATAAAAAAAATTAAAAAAAAAACAAACCCAAAAAAAACAAAAAAACTTTGGCTGGCCCCCCAAATCCTAACCCCGGCAGCCCAAAATACTTCCACCAGGCCCTTTAGCAAAGCCTCCAGAACTTCAGATGCCCAGAAGGGGCAAGTGCTTGTTTGCTAATTCAGACTAAAGTATGCATGACTGATAGGAAGGTCCTTCGAAGGGCTTGAATGGTGGGGTTTGAGGCAGAGGTCATCCACCCCCGGCCCTGCCTGAATCCCTCCCACCCAGAAAACGGACCTGATCTCCTCCTCCGTGTTTGATCCTGATGCCCCCTCAGCAGTGGGTATGTGCTGAGATTCTCGAGATAGCTGGCATTCCTGCCGGCTAGTCTTGGCCACGGCCGTCCCAGCAGGCCTGAGCTGGGGGGCTTCAGCCACACTCGGAACCCTCTCCCTTGGCTCTGGGGCCTCGTTCTCTGTGCTGTCGTTGTCTGAGATGTTCTCTGCCGTGCTGGAGTCCTCCGATGATGACTCATACCTGGGGAGGTACAAGCGGGGCAGGGGAGACGCTGCAGGTGGGATGAGAAATGGTGGGAAAGGAAGGCAGGAATCCGGTGACCTGACCTCTGTGGGCCTCAGCTTCTCCATCTGTTCAATGGCAGTGTTGACATTCCGGGGCTGTGTCATGTGGTTTACAGCAACTGGTATACAGTAAGCGCTCAATAAACATTAGCAATGATTGTGATCATGCTTGGGGGGAGAGGCACTGCTTTTCACCTGCTGCCCTTTGACACTTCTAGCATACCCACCCTCTTTTTTTTTTTGAGACAGAGTCCTGCTCTGTTGCCCAGGCTGGAGTGCAGTGGCGCTCACTGCAACCTCCACCTCCTGGGTTCAAGCAATTCTCCTGCTTCAGCCTCCCGGGTAGCTGGGATTACAGGCGCCTGCCATCACGCATGGCTAATTTTTGTATTTTTAGTAGAGACAGAGTTTCACTATTTGGCCAGCCTGGTCTCGAACTCCTGAATGCAAGTGATCTGCCCACCTCGGCCTCTCAAAGTGTTGGGATTACAGGTGTGAGCCACTGCACCCAGCCATATCTCCAGCCTTTTTAAGATAGGGTCTGACTTTTGCCCAGGCTGGACTGTAGTGGTGTGATCTTGGCTCACTGAAACCTCTGCCTCCTGGGTTCAAGTGATTCTTCTGCCTGAGCCTCCCAAATAGCTGGGACTACAGGTTCGCACCACTGTCTCAGCTAATTTCGTATCTTTCTGTAGCAGACATCGGGTTTCGCCCATGTGGCCAGGCTGATTGCGAACTCCTGAGCTCAGGCCATCCGCGCCTGCCTCAGCATCCCAAGAATGCCTGGGATTATAATGTGTGAGCCGTCTGCCAGCCCGGCCTACGCTCATTTTCTTTTTTTTTTTTTTTTTTGGAGACGGAGTCCTTGCTCCTGTCACCCAGGCTGGAGTGCATGGCCGGATCTCAGCTCAACTGCAAGCCTCCTCCTCTCGGTTCACGCCATTCTCACTGCCTCAAGCTCCCGAGTATGCTGGACTACAGGCACACCGCCCTTCGCCGGTCTAAGTTTTCTTATTTTTTAGTAGAGACGAGGGTTTCACCATGTTAGCCAGGGAGGTCTCGATCTCCTGACCTCATGATCCGCCCGTCTCGCCCTCCCCAAGAGTGCTGGATTGACAGGCTGAGCCAACCCGCACCCCCGGCCTAGCCTCTTTTTTTTGAGATGGGTGCGCTCTGTCCTAACCCAGCTGGTGGCAATGTGGCTATCCGTTCCACTGCGAACCTCTGTCTCTCCTGGTAGTTTCAAAGCGATTCTTCTCCTGCCTTCCAGCCTCCCAAGTAGCCTGACACTATACGCACCCACATACCCACTTATTTTTTGTATTTTTTTTTTTTTTTTTTTGAGACGGAGTCCGCTCTGCCACCCCAGGCTGGATGCAGTGCCAGTTCTCGGCTCACTGCAAAGCCCGCCTCCCGGGTTTGCGCGCATTCCTGGCTCAGCCTCCCGGGTACTGGGACTACAGGCGCCCGCCACACTCGCCCGGCTAGTTGTTTGTATTTTTTAGTAAAGAGACGGGCTTTTCACCTGTCAGCCCAGGAGTCTCGATCTCCACCTTGTGATCCGCCCGTGCCGGCCTCCCAAAGTGCTGGATTACAGGCTTGAGCCGCACCGCGCCCAAGCCTATTTTTGTATTTTTAACAGAGATGAAATTTCACCATGTTGGCTAAGGCTGGTCTCAAACTCCTGGAACTCAAGTGATCCTACACGCTCAGCCTCCCAAAGCTGCTGGGAGGACAGATGTGAGCCACTGTGCCTGGCCACTTTCTAACCCTATTAAACACAGGTGATTCAGACCTCCTGTTCCACTGCAAATAGGGCTCTCTCGTGTTTCTTGCTGGCTCTGGACAAAACCTAATCAAGCTTCTAGGCTCGGCATTCAAGGCCCCAAACCAACCATCACTCCCTGCGCCTCCCACTTCTCATGTCACTCTGCTTTCCCGCCTCTGAGCCTTTACCCACGCTATGCCCCTGCCAGGAGAGCCCTCCTCGTGCCCTCTCTCTTCACCTTGCTAGCTCCTACTTCTCCCGCAGCACCTGCGTCTCCTCCTTCTGGGACTCCCCTAGGGCCACCTGTGTCTTTCCTGAGGCCTGGTACCACCTGAGTGTTCCCCATCATGGCTCCAACCACAACCTGATGAGTGGCTCCAACCACCCATCGGTGCCCAGCTGCCCACTGGACCAGGAGCTCTATTAGGGCAGGAAGCGGAGTCCGGCACCTTCTGTGGGGTAGAGCTGTGCAGTGGTTACACCTTGAGTTCTTGAGCCAGGGCACCTGGGGCTGACTCCTGGGTCACTGAGTGAGCTCCAGCAACGCGCTCAGCCTCCCTGTGCCTCAGTTTCCTCATCTCTGTATTGTGGTTTGATTAAACGAATTAACCAAAGCAAGGGGCTTGGAATGAGGAAATTAGGAGGCTCTCGTGCATGGATGAATGGAGGAGGGGCAGGAAGTGTAGGGGGAGTGGGGGTCTTCTCCTCTCACCCGCCGTTGACCCCCACAAACTGGAGGCTCCTCCGGTGGGCCGTGGGGTCTGCAACCTCCTCTTTCCGTTTCATGATAGATCGCACGCCTGCTGGGGGCCCGCCTGGAGGGGAGAACAGAGGAGGTGTTGTGAGAATCCTTCAGGGCCAGACTCCAAGCCGGTGCCATCTGGGTGTCCCATCCCTCTTGGCAGCCACCCACCACTTACCGGCGCCCCCGGCCTCCTCGGTCTCTCGGGAGGCTGCTTGCCCAGTGGGCTCCCTGTGGGTGGTGTCCCGGGCAGGCTCTCGGCCTGTGGTCTTCTCAGGCTGTGTAAGGAAGGCTACTTTGGACCCCGGAGGTGACGAGGACGATTCGGCAGTAACTTGTGGGAGGCCTGGAGGGACAGGAAATGGGGTATCTGCTCTTGGTCATAAAAGCCAAACCACCACAGCCTGATAGCTCCTGCCCTGCAGGTCATACACCCCGGGCCAGGAGCTGTAACAGGGCTGATTTTTGTTTTACCACAGCCAGTCTTCCTTGCCCTCGAAGGGAAGTCGGATTATTACAGATAAGGAAACTGAGGCACAGAGCTGCCAAGATCACCCCTTGAGCAGGTGGCAGAATGCAGTTCCAAGCTGTTTGGTGCCTGCCCAGCAGTTAGTCAGGGACAAGTGACAACCCTGTGGTCCTATATTCCTGGCTCGAGCCTGAGTGATCTCTAAAAATAAGGTTCGGCCAGGCACAGTGGCTCACGCCTGTAATCCCAGCACTTTGGGAGGCCAAGGCAGGCGGATCACCTGAGATCAGAAGTTCAAGACCAGCCTGGCTAACATGGTGAAACCCTGTCTCTACTTTAGTCGGGCATGGTGGTGCACACCTGTCATTCTAGCTACTCAGGAGGCTGAAGCAGGAGAATTGCTTGAACCTGGGAGGCGGAGGTTGCAGTGAGCAGAGATCATGCCATTGCACTCCAGCCTGGGCAACAGAGCAAGACTCTGCCTCTTAAAAAAATAAATAAATAAAAATAAATCAGATAAAAACACGTCTTCGCTGCCGGGCACAGTGGCTGATGCCTGTAATCCCAGCACTCTGGGAGGCTGAGGTGGGCAGATCATGAGGTCAGGAGTTCAAGACCAGCCTGGCCAACATGGTGAAACCCTATCTCTACTAAAAATACAAAAATTAGCTGGGCGTGGTGGGGTGGGGATGACTGTAATCCCAGCTACTAGGGAGGCTGAGGCAGGAGAATTGCTTGAACCAGGGAGGCAGAG